TACCTTTGGTCACTCTTTCATTTGCCTGGTCCAAATGTAGATTGTGCTTCTACAAGTCAACATTTATCTGCAGTTGCTCTTTTCGTGAGTTTTTGATATGCAGGTTAGGGGGTGCTGGATTTAGACCCTTCTTTCTTGGGGAACTCACGTGTCCTTGTTCCACTCCTAAGATGTAATTTTTTTTTAACCTTTTGTTTTGTTGTCCCTTCTGTCCTTCTCCAGATCGAGGAAGAGATGTTAGCCCTGCAGAATGAGCGCTCCGATCGGATCCGGAGCCTCTTGGAGCGCCAGGCCCGGGAGATCGAGGCTTTCGACTCTGAGAGCATGCGCTTGGGATTCAGCAATATGGCACTCACCGGCATCCCCGCCGAAGCCTTCAACCAAGGCTATACTGCCCCCCCTCAGCCCTGGCCCTCCCGCCCCGTTCCCCGCAGTGGCTCCCACTGGAGCCATGGCGTCCAGAACACGGCCGGTGCCCCCCACGCGTGGAGGCAGCCCCCTATGTTAGCCCCACCCCCTTCGGCTTGGCTTCACCCTCCTTCTTCCTCTCCCTCCTCCTCATCTTCCTCATCGTCATCCGCCCCAGGGGGCCGCTCCAACGTGGTCATGCTGAGGAACAGCCCTCAGCCATTGCGACGCACAGCTTCTGGCGGCCAGTCGGACCAGGGCATCAGCCGCTCGGCCAGCGTCACCTCACACATCCTCAATGGGTCGCACTTCTCTTACTCGTGAAGCGATTGGGAAGAGAACAGGGAAACTTTGCTGGAGGGCGATGGGGGGGAATTGGCTGTTGGGAAAGGGGGAAGGAAAGCGGGGCTCCTCAAGCAACGGATGGGGTGACACTGTGAAACCGGAACCACGGTCCCGGCCCCTCAGTCGTCATCTGTGGCCTTTGTCTTGCCACAGCTTTGCAAGCGCAGAGCCACAGAAGATTGGACTGTGAGACTGTGGAAGGTTGAATTCTTGCCCTCTGGCCTGTGGCTGGTGCCTCCCCCAGGTCACGGTGTTCCCGTCCCCCTCCCTCACCGCCACGTGGAAGGAGACACCAAAGCTGTGGACGTGCCATTGGCGATCGGTTTTTGCATACCTGATCGTTGGCCGTTGCTTCCCCCAGCGTTGCAACAATCTATAGACGGAGAGAGATGGCGAACGATTACTCCCCCCCCCCAAACTGTGGAGATTAAATTATCTTCTTTTTGTTTTCCATTTGTGGCTGAATAATCCCAAATCCCACTCTTGGGAAGAGAAGAATACATTGCAACAAATCCAGAGTTCTCAGTTGTGCACCTATAGCTTGCTACGGGAGGTGAAAGGAGCTGCAACCATCAAAGAGAGCCTTTTCTTTTTCTCCTACAACATGGTTACTTTAACCCAGTTTAGGTAGAGAGAAATGATGGGCATAGATCTTGCTTTTGGGAGGGGGGGGAGAGAAGCCCTGGATTGCCAGTGATGGTGGCCAATCTGTGCATGCATAGAATTATCAGATTGACAGAGGAAGACTTTGTGCATCCCTTCCAGGATGTGGACAGTGGGGTCTCTGTCCTGCCCAAATACACGGGCAGAGACCACAGCATTCAGTCTGTTTCCAGAACATTCTCTACTCCAGGAGCCTTCCTTGCCTCATCACAAATCCGTGGATAGAGAGGGAGGTATAAATTGCTGCAGGCTGCTGTGGCTTCTACCTGCATTGCCATGTTTCTGAGAGATGTGGTGAACTCTAGCTCTTGAGACTGTCTTGACCACTCCCGGCCCATCTGATTAAAAAAAAAAGGTTCCTGAACCAGTCCTCACATTCCTCTCATGAACCAGAATGTAGATTTTTAACAATGCCCTTTTCTCCTGTATTTCTTTTTTTTACATGTAGATTTAAGCCGCTGCCAGCCCAGGGATCTTCTTATGTTAATAACAGCCCCCTACTCCTTTGTATTACATCGCCTCCTCCACTGGAAAGACATCCAGTTCCTTTTGTAAACCTTTGAATCACAGCTGGCCCCAAGCTAAGAGTTAGGTTTTGGTTTCCTAGCTGCGACCCACACCTCTGGTAGGCCAGGCGATGGGATTGTCATCTTTTCCCGCTTGTGCTTGGTTCCTCCTCAAAGATTCCTCTGTCTTGGACCCTTTTTTCTTTCCCACCCACCCAAAATGGTTTGCTGTCACTTCCATAGCCCCAGTGTTCTTTTTTGCTCTGTGCAAGTTAGTTGCATTGCTCTCAGTTTAGTCTCCCCAAGTCTGCAGAAAGGCTTTAACTGTGTATGCAGGATACGGGTGTCCAGAGGAATTAAGAATGTCTCTTGATTCACAATTCACATCCATTAACACCATCTCCATCTCATCTCCTTTCTCCCTGCATGCTTGTCCCCCGGCTTTTCCCTCTCCCTTCATGCTGTTTCTTGCTGTAATGCCCAGTATGAACAAACCCCCAGATTGCCAAGGGTTTGGGATCAGGGTCAATTTTTCACACTAAACCTATGATTTCAGTGGGCAGTTGCCTTCCCTTCTGCCCCTTACTAGTCCTCAAGTCAATATTTCTGACCTCAAAAGTCTAATGGCTTCTCTGACTGAAAAACAAAAGTCTCCCCTCCGTACCCCCCTCCCTCACACAAGCAACACCTTATTTGTGTTAGGACCAAACGTCCCACCAGCAAGTAGAAAACAGTTTGTGAGCTGATGTGATCTCTGTTGAGGCATTTCAAAATCAGTGTCTCAACTATGGATGCTGAGGGAGAAGCTTAAAACACCTTTCTCATGCTCAAAATTTCATTCTGATTTAACTTGTGGGCACTGGGGCGCTGTATATCAAAACTTGGCACAGTGTTTCTGACAGAAGGGATGAAGAGGAGGTAAAATGAAGGTTTTGTGAGTGTATTGTGTACCTTGGTGGACACGAGCATTTTCTCCATCATAACTAGAAATAAGTCTGTCATGAGGGTAGGGAAATCAGTAATTGAAACTAGTTTTGAAACTTCCCTATGGCAAATGGGACTGAATACTCTGAAAGCACTTGGTTGGGTCCAACAGCTCCCTTCTGCAAAGTCAGGATCTTCTCATTTAGCAATTTACTTTAAAACTTTGGTTTGTGCTGTGGAAACCCAGATATGTATTCACTCAGAGTGGGTGTCCAGATTTACAAATCTAGAAAGGAAATTTTGATCTCTTGCTATGGGGAGCAAGTCTTGATTTATTTTCCTCTCCCATTGTGACAGAAAAAAGCAGCCCTGGGGTTTTAATACCACCGGGTGGGGAAGAAAACTCGAGGGGTAAGAGTATCCCTGGACTGTATCATTCAGTTCATAGGTAGATGGTTACACAGATTGAGGTATCAGGTAGAGAATTTCTAGTCTAGTGTCCCAGAAATACTAATTTATTTTTCCTCAGATAATAGTTTTTTTCTTAAGAAAATGCCATGCATTTCCCTGCCTCTTTCCAAGAATTGGACATCTTCCTCAGGCAAAGACGGAAAGGACAATTTCTTTAAAATGGCAGGTGTGTCAAAGAAGTCCTACAAACCAGTTCTTCATGGGAAAGGGAGGGCAATGATGTCGTCTTTATGAAAAGAGGGAGAGAAATGTGAAACCAAAATGTCTCCTCACAGACTCTTCCTAGTGAGCTTGGAAAATTTACTTCACATGGTCTCGGGAATCCATGTTTGGCTCGTGGGAAAGGAAGATCCCCAGTGAGAGCCGAGTCAAGGGGGCCGGCAAGGAAACTGGTGTGGGGGATTTCATCAAATACTAACATTTCTTCCAGTGATGGAAGATTCTAGAGACTTCCCTTTGAGGAAGAGAAATACATGATCCTCTTGAGACTTCCTTGATTTATTTTTTTTTCCATTTTGGGAACTGGAAACCTTGAAACAGTCATTTTACACGGTAGCGTAGCTAAGGCATATTGCTGTGTCCTCAGACCCCCACCACCCTCACCACCACATCAGTCCCTTTTCTCACTGAATTATCCTCCCTGTGCCATTCGGCATCCCGTGTCCCACCCCACCCCAAGGGCGGTGATCTGTCCTCAACCACAAAAAGTCGTTCTCGAACCTTCTTCTAACGAAGAGAGACTTCTCCCCAAACCCTCACCCCATTTTCTCAAGTTGCTTTTTCTAAATTTCATAAGGCCACTGTTTTAAACAAGCTGGGGGGGTGAGGGAGGGGGGGAGGAGAAATGGGAACTTTTACTTCAAGATGTTCAGTTAGTGATATCTGCCTGCCTGGGTTTGGGAAATGGGGTTACGGGGAGGGATAGGGCTGGAGGGGCTTGATGTATTATAATAATCCTTTTTGGTTTAAAAAGAAATTCTGTTTTTTGGTGCCATAACTTTCCCCCATGTACAGTTTACCTCTTCTGGTCTTTTTTTTTTGTTTTTTTGGCCTCCCCACCCCTCTCCTGTTTCCCTCTGTGTGGGTGATTAAAAACTAATGTGAGTGTGTGTATGTATGTGTGTATGTCTTTTTTATATATGAAGAAAAAATGTTGGGGGGGGGGAACTTAGACATATGTGTCCTATGGAATGTATTAGAAAATAAAACACTTTTTTTAAAAAAAAATGGGGGGTTGGGGGAGATTCAGACATACTTGGAAGAGAAAAAAATGGGGTAGGGAAGATGGAATTGCTTGCTCTCTAGAAGGTTACCAGTGGGAGAGATTTCGGGGTGGGGTGAGAAATCTTTTAATAAAAATGTTGACTATTAAAAAGTTGTATTCTCTCTGTTTGGGCTTGGAGAGGGGGTGGCTGGAAGCAGCAAGAGTTATCTCGGGATGCGATCTTCGAGTGGATAGGGCAGGTAATGGCCCCTCGTGAAATCACCTTTCTTTGGCATCTCTGCACAGTCCCGTATTCCTACCTAAGATTTTATTTTATTATATATGTTAACCTCTTTTCTACCTTCTGAGACCCAAGGCAGCTTACAATATAAACAGAACAAATATAACAGAAATAACTAAAATAATTAAAGCTCTGAATTAAAACCACAATTTACAATAAATAGGGGGGGGAACCACCACCCTAAGTAAAATCATCTTCAACTGCCTCTTAAAAGATCCAATGTGAGGGGGCATGCACATCTCCCAGGGGGAGGTTATTCCACTATTGTAGGACTGCAAACGAAACCACTTCTATCCTGTTCATCCATACAGGTCAGGAAGATGTACAAAGTCCTCCCATTTTCCAATTTTGTTGATCTTCACAACACTTCTGTGAGGTGGGTTAAACTGACAGGTCTAAATGGGAGCCAGTGAATTTAATGATGGAGCAGAGATTTTAATCAAGAGTCTCCCCCCTCCCCCCAAAAAAAAGATCACATAAGATTATTTGCAAAGAAGTAGCTCTGGAACACTGTATGGTAAGTTGGGCTTTTGCTCCAAAGAGTAATTAAATCATGGAATACACTGTCAGTGGATATAGTAAGGGCTATTTGCATAGACAGCTTGAAAAGACAGATGCAGGCAGAGGAGAGGTCCAGTGGTTTCTAGCCATGATTACTAAAAGGAATCTCTATTTCCTGAGGCAACAACAATCGCTGTTCCCAGTTCATTGTGTACTGGGTGAAGCAGGATGACTAGATGGATTTCTGTTCTGTTCCTGCAGGGTTCTTTTTAGGTTCATTGGCCTACTTGGTAAATCAACATTTAGTTTTAGATTCTGGTGTCCATGACTAATCCTCTGAATCTCAGAGCCAGGAGGCAACAACAAGGGAAGGCCTCGGCCTCTGTGACCTGTTACTGGCCATCCAGACGAACTGGTTGTCTACTATGTGAGACAGGATGCCGGACTAGATGGACTATTGGTCGGATCCAGCAGGGCTCTTAAGATGTTGGCCAAATAAAAGAGTCAGCAGCTGCATCCTGAGTCATTCTATGGCCAACGCTTCACCATTAACTCGACAACACAACCAGAGTGCTGCGTGGTATATGCCCAACACTGTAAGCCCAGTGAGAATTTCTTTTCTACTCTGAAGGCAGGGTTTCAAGGGTACTGGAGAATGATCTCATTCTGTGTTAAGTGATCACATCTGTGGAGTCAGGAGGGCAGGGGTGGTGGTAATTGATCAACATTTGCATGTCAAGCTTTGGATTCCAGTCTTTTAAGGTGGTTCACAAAACATCGATCAAGAAAGTATGCATTGAAAACACAGAACCTCATCACCGTGAGAAGGGAGAGGACAGAGCGGAACAGAAATATGATTGCAATAAAGCAGCTGGGGGAGAGAGACTCTTCAAAAAGCACCTATTTTAGACCTATAGCAGGGAGCATCAAAATCTCTGTGCCACTGTGGAGTAAGCCCTGTCCCAAGTAGTAACCCGCCCATAACACAAACCTCGAGCAGGGCCTCAGAAGAGATTCTTGGTATACAGGAAAGGGCATACAGAAGCAAATGGTTCTTAAGGTATCCAGGGCTTAAGCTGTTTTAAAGGTCAAAACTAATTGGACACCAAAGGATGAGCTTTTGGACTGGTGTTCTGTGCTCTGAGTAGCCTGCTGCGGTTCGTATCCTAGCAACTGCATTCTAAATCCTGTGTATTCTCCGGAAACTCCTTTGTTGATATTCTCATCCCTATATATGTTTTATCAGTGTGTTTGATTTTCTTAGACTGGGGCTCCTGGATTCTCAGGGCAAGAGGGAAAGATTCTTGGCCCCAGAAGTATCTTGGATCCGATTTCTCAATATGTGTTCATCTTCCGTTACCTGATAAATTACAGTGGAGTGCTGGACAGAAGTTAAAACAGCTAAGCTTTCATTCACATCTTTTCCTCTTCTTTGCAAAGTACCACGTCCCCACACGCAAGCATCAGGTTCTGCAGATCTGCCCTCTTCTGCAGCTCTCAAACATTCAGCCCTCTTACAAGAAATTCCATCTCCTAGCAACTGGGCTCCTGGAAGCATTCCCATGGCAACTGCATCCTCCGGCAGTTGACTACCAAGAGAAGGAGCATCTTGGTTGCATCCCACCCCTACAGTAGGGGGGGGTGACGGTTTGTATCTAAGGGAGGCAGAGGGGCCTGTCGGCATCTAGGCTGGGGGGTGGGAGAGGTCAGGTCTTCTTATGCTAGGCATATCCTCCAGTAAGCCACCTTGCAAGCCTCTTCTCTTATGATCACGTGTGTTATTTCCAGAGCACATTCCGTTTGGGCTTCCCTTTTGAAACGGGATTTTGAGAAATTAGCTGAGAACCTAATGGTTTTATACCTTGCTTAAACTGGAGCCATGGTTCTATATTTTTGGTGGGTCTGAGAACTGAAAGGAACGGGCCTCCTTATTTTTAAGGCTCAATATTTTGGGGCAGGGACCTGGTTTCACATGCTCTGTAGAGCATGCTGTGTATTGATGGCATTGTACCACACAGCAGCACTGCTCTCGCATGCATGCAGTCTACGTGTGGGGCCTCTCAAGAAGGTGCCATCCCCCTCCCAACACTAGTTACCAACCTCCAGGTGGGGCCTGGAAACCTCCCAGAATTAAAACTGATCTGCAGACTACAAAGATCGCTGGAGGGAAATGGCAGCTTCAGAGGGTGGGATCTATGGGTACACCATATAATGTCTAGGAGAAACGGGAGTCCCAGACTGACGTCACATCCCTGCTCTAAGCTCCCTCCAACTCCACCCTCCCCCAGGATCGATCCCCAAATCTCCAGGAATCTCCTGATCTGGAGCTGGCAACAGCAACACTACCTGACACCTTCAGATGATGCTAATAGATGTGTGTATGATGCTCTTCCCCTTTGGGCTACAGAAATTTTCATGCTGGTGCTACTCCCTAGAACTGACCGTACAGTCCTGGACCCATGATTTGCAGGCCTCGGTGACCTGACTGCCAGAAAGTTGTGAGAAGACTGTTTCCGAGGGCCCCCGAGCATGTGCTGAGTGCTCCTTCTCATTTTGAGCTTCTAGATTTTGTGGCAACAAAGTGTGCCCTCCTCCAAGGCCCTTTAAAAAGTACATTAAATACTCTAGCATGGATACAGAGAAGCCAAGTGCACTTTAATGCATCGGATGAAGCGAGCTGTGACTCATGGACGCTGAGTGCCGGAATATAGTTAGTTAGTCTTTAAGGTGCGAGTGGACTCATATTTTACAGAGAAGCAGGCTGTAAAATGGGACAGTAATGTATCTCTTGCTATCTTACCACTCAGCTTTAGAGTTCCACAAAGGAATTGGGGGGGGGCATCTTCTGTGCGGGAAATGGGAAAAGATTAATGTTGTCCCCAGATCATAGTCAATTGCAAAAGCTAGTCATAAAAAAATAGGAAAACACACACACTTTCAACCCTTTAGGCTAGCGACCTACTTCAGCAGTAGGCTTTGGCAAATCTGCTCATTGCCTAACATTCTTATCCTACTTCTGTTTAGTTGCTTTACATCTGGATGTTCAGGAGGAGGCCTGGAAACAGTTATGGCTGGTCGTTTTTGACCTATGTCAATAAAGTGCTGACCTATTTATCCTCCAGTGCTAACTACAAGAATAGTGTCAGAGATCAAGTGTGTGAGTTTGGCAACGTCAGTGATGAAGGAAAAGCACTTTGTGCATGCTCAGAAGCACTCTCCAGTCCAGCCAACTTGAAGGAGTGCAGAAAAACAGCTACAGCCCTTGTGTGGGTGATCCGAGCTTCACAGTTCAAGTGCTGTTTCCGAAATAGACTCTGCAATTGGATGGAAGGGAGTTCTTGCTCTGGGTCAGGGTCTACCTCCCCACTTCCTCCCCCATTTTGTCTTCATGCAGTTTTCCGTTCTGGGTCCAGAATCCATGTTTTCTTTCTCTCTCTTTCTTAGTTCCAAAATGGAGGACAGCTCTGAATCGCCAGACAACCCTTCTCATCCGGATAAGCCTGCCCCAGCATGCTTTGCGCCCAGGATATCCGAAGGCACGGCACAGTTCCTGGTGAACACCGTTGCGGGCACGGCCAAAATGGTCCAGGCAGCTGTTGAAGCACATAAGTCTGCACAGGTGCAGCTTCCCACAGGCCCCGGCCCTGAACCGGGCAATGAACAGAGCGAATGAAGGGAAATATTCTGTGTCTCAAAAACACTGAGGTGGCTTTATGACACGAAGGGCTATAATGGAAATAATGCTTTCCCCGCCCCTTAAGGCTAGTCCTCAGTGAGGTGGCCCTGTGTCTAGGGATGCCAGCCTCCAGGTGGGGCCTGGAGATCCCTTGGAATGACAGCTCATCTCCAGACTACAGAGGTCAGTTCCCCCTGGAGAAAGTGGATGCTTTGGAGGGCGGGCTCCTTGGCATTGTGCCCCACTGAGGTCCCTGTCCTCCCCAGGCTCCACCCCCCAAATCTCCAGGAGCTTTCCAGCCTGGAGCTGGCAACCCATCTCCTGCCAGTGGCCAGGGAGGAATTGGCAACCCTAGCTGTGCCTGGGCTGCACCACTTCAGTCTGCCCCATACAAAGTAATCCCCACCAGAAAGACCGCTGACAGTGCGATCCTGAGCGGAATTGCACCCGTCTAAGTCCCCCTTAGTCAGTACACTTTGAAGGACGTAACTCTGCTTAGGACTGCCCTGCCTGATGTCAGGGAAGGAGGCCAGCCAGAACTCCTTCTCTCTGGCATGATAATGAGAGGGGCGCTTTGAACCTTCCGAGTGGGAAGAGAGTCTGCAAATGGACCTTGTGGGAAATAGCTCACCCCCTTGGCTCACGTTCCT